ATTACCCAGAGGACTTATTAAAACAGATTCCTGGGCCACCCCCAGGGCTTGATTTATTACGTAGAAAGTGAGCCCAAGAACTTGCATTTCTAACAAGTGATGCTGATGCTGCTGACCAAGGACTATACTTGAGAATCACTGGTCTAAGACAGTGGTTCTCAATCATGGCTGCACATTAGAAGCACAGGGGAACTTTTGAAAACACCAATGTCTAGAGGTCCCTTAGATCAATTACACCATAAGTTCTGAGAGTAGGTCCTTGGCACTATTATTTTTCTAAAGCTTCCTAGACAACTAATGTGTAGCCAGGGTTGAGAACTACTGTGCTAGCTAATTAAAAGGAATCTAAACCAAGCCCACTGAGAACAGATGTTTCTTAGTACAAAAGCAGAATAAGGATTTTAGCCTTTATCTGCTGATAAAGCAGCCAAGTGATAAGTATAAAGAGTAAATTCAATAGGGCGGCCTCAGTTGCTTACATAACTAGGGTTTAACCAAACAGAAGAAGCTGTAAGTGTGCTGACTGCTTTAAATCCCAAAAAACATCTAGAACAAGTCTTTAGAGGTCATACAAAATAGTAAACATTTGACGGCAACAGAAGTGTAGGCTACTACCAATTACATGTACCATGTTTATTTAGGCTGAGTGGAAATATTGCGTATTGGTTAACTCTGGGACTCTGGAATAAGATCATTTAATAGATGTGAACTTTTGCAACTTAGATAATTAAGCTTTGGTCTCTTCATATGGGAGCTAATGTAACTAACATTATATTGATGCTAAAGATTCCATGAACATGCACATAAAAAGTTAGCTCAGAGTCTGGCACACAAGATTTAACGTAATCTAAATTGCTGTAAGCTATGCCATAAACATATTAAACTACTAGAAATGCTAAGGAAATAATTGTCCTTTCCTAAGTCTACTTCTTCCTTTTAGTCAACATCATTTCTCTTCATCACAATGGCTTCAGGGTCTCTACTGTTACAAGATTAGAGTCATAGCTTTGTGAATTCAGATGTTAGGGCTCTCGAAAGTTTTAAACCAAATAACTATAGAGAGAATAACTGATGGGAATCAACACAACTTTTAGAAAGCTATGGAAGTATACAGTACAAGCTTATTATGAAATAAGGTAAAATTCGATGTTCTCTCCTTTTAATTGACACTCAACCACTGCATGATTTATAATTGCCTATATTACCTTGACATTTGCTCATTTCTAAATACTTTCCCTTTTATGCCAAAATACCACTAAAAATAGAGGTTTCAATCAAGTATGGTCTCTCTCCTATAATAACGGCAGGAAAAAAGATAGCTCTCCTCAAAGCCAAGTTGTGTATGTCCACTTTAAAACCTTAAGGAGGACTTAAGAATCATTTAGAATCTAAATTTCTAAAGTCTAAATATTTCTACTGCCAACTCTTTCTCCCCAAGTACTTACTAGATTAACTAAGTTCTAAAAATACAAGGCCCTTGCTAAGACAAAGATGACAACAGATGAGTGGTACAGAATAGCAATCAGGAAGAAAACACCACAAATATCTACTTCGTACTATGCACTTTGATGTTAATTCCAAATTTGCTTTATACTATTTACAGTAAGATGTGAATCAAAGCTGAGAAGCCTCATCTAGGCCTTATGACTGATAAAATCTTCACAAGAAGCCCTCAACAATTTAGTCTGTGTTCATCACAGAATCTACAGGAGAGAGACACTTATAATAAAACTCAAAAAACATTTCAAACCAATCTCTTAACATAAAGTGCTTTTTATGAACTTACAATGTTTATCTCTATAATTCTGAGGAAAAGTGGAGAAAGATTAAGAAATAAATGATTTCCTTTATATTTCAGAACAATGTCCACTACCAGATTTTATTTGGCCTTTTGAGGGTTGTTTTTGAAACCTCTCTACCTAGTAAGTAACATAAATGTGTAACACCTATCATTTCTCAGAGATTAAAAATTGTTTTTAACTCTGCTCTGGTTAGACTGGGGATTGAGGATGCAAGAGTATATGTGCTTATTTATCTTGTTCTGGGCCAGCAATTGTTTTAATGAGGTTCACTGCAAAGACTGAGAATTCATCTGGTCTGGTAACATGTTAGATCTGTCGGTCACTTTAAAAATAGCTTTAAACAGTGCCATTTAAAATTGACGGACACTGCATAGCCCAAAAGAATTCCTGACGCAAGTTCCCTGGTTCCATGTACAATTCCTTCCTGCCTTGGCTAAATAACAGCTTGCTCAAATTGCACTGCTGCACTCAGAGGTTTGGAGATATGATTATTAATGAGGCAGATTAATTTTCAATTTATTTTCAGAGATTACTTTCAACTTACTCTAGGTAGGAGAAAAATGGAATTAGTTCATTGAGGGTAATAATAATACTTAATCAATATTATGAATGGATTGGGATGATAGCCTATAAGTACTTAAAGTCCATTCAGTAATTTAAAGTGCAAAAAGTTATCTGAGAAATACTGTCTTGGAAGTAAAAGTTATCCTGAAGTCAGAAGGCATCTAATCCAATAATTCTAACCTTATAAATTCTCTTTGCAATGTAACATGTCTACTAATTCTCCCAGTCTATGCTGGAAGATGGTCAATGCTTGTTTCCTGCCAACTTCTCAGGGTGGATTATTCTCTATCTTCAGTGATTTGACTGGTAGGAAATTTAGGTTAACCAGATCTTACCTTCTATGTTGTACAGAACTTCCTTCTAGACGGAGCTTTTAAAATATGGAAGTTATCATGATCCAAGTCTTTTCAAGCTAAGTATTTAGTTCCTTCAGCTACTCTTCATGATGGTTTTACATTTTTACATTCTGGGTTCTATTCTGAAGATGCACCAGATTGTGCTGGTATTGTTCTTAAAACACAGGAGATGAAAAATATTCCACGTAGTAGGGAATAACCAGCCCAGTACACTGGGCTTGTTCTAGAAATCTAATAAAGCATCCTTACAATGTAACTATTTGATAGCCACATTACACTGACTCACTTGGATTTTTACTCAATAAAAATCTCTACTTCTACTGCATAAGCCATACACTCCTTAAGCTCTCCTTAATGCACCCTCCATCTAAGGAAGAACCTGTCTAATAACTTACTGAAAACAACATGTACTTTGCAATAGTTTTTTTTTTAAACTTAGTTTTCCAATAACCACAAAAAATGAAACTTTAACAGGATTTGTTATCACACCCATATTGGGTCACCATAATTCTTTCTAAAGTGCTTACACCACTATCGTTATTTGGGACTCTTATTTAGAAGCTTATCTATCTTATTTATCGTATAGTTAATTTTACATAGTCTTTTTCTCTTTTTAAAGGTATGAATGACATTTACCTACCACTAAGCTTGTTATTTTTCATTTCTCAAAGAAAGTTCAGTTATCATATCTTTAAATTGCCATCAGTGAAATATTTAATTTCATCATGTAAAATTATTTAAGACATCATTTTAGTCCTCTCATTCATGCTGGCTTTACCAACATTCATTCTAATCAAGATAAATTTCTCTTTCATCAGAAAAGTAGCCAAATAAACACTAAGGTACTGTGATTTGTGTGCTTTAATATTATACCAAACTCAGGCTTATCCCTTGGCGAGTCTTATTCCCAAACTAAGAGCTCCTAAAACTGCAAAAATTTAATAAACTTTCATTTAGCGTTTAAAGTTTTTGACCCCATCTCTATGCTGTGTCATTCCATCCAATATTTTTTGCCAAACAATAACTCCTTTATTGCCCATCACAGAATCAGGTCACAGATCATTTTCCTAACTATTCTGTTCTCCAAGAAATAAAACGCAAAGCAAATCAAGAACTCTACTTGTTGACAGTAGATATGCAGACAGCTAAAGTCCCTCACTACTACAGTATCTTGCCTCTTTGCCATGATGTTAAGAAACCCAGAGACTGCTATCAACACACCAATTATCTCAGCCTCGATTTACCAATATTGCCAGTCTTGGCCAATCCCAGATCTTAATATTCATTCTAGCTGTTGGTTCCATTACCATCTACTATGGTAAAAAGCAGGATGAAGGCTCATTTGAAATAAGCTATGTTGGCAAATTAGCCACAACCATTTAAGAAATATTAGAAAAGTAAAAATTAAAGGGCATCTACTTTTGACCCCTTTTCCAGGTATCCTGAAAAATATGAGTTGATAAAGTCTTGTATACCATTTCGTGGTAGGAAAAAATCACAACCACTTTAGGATCTCAAACTCGTGCTCATTAAGCACTTGGTAGTATATTTTCCATTCATATTAAGGCATCATTTGACTGAGGACTTAAGTTCACTTAGTGTGTTGAATAAATACTAAATCTGTCCCAACTGTAACTTTTAAATAGGATTTTGAAAATAGGTAAAGAAAACAAGTCAGTGTTAGAATCAAGGCAAGTTCTTAATACTGGTTTCATATAAACATTTAAAAACATTTCATTGGGGGAGGGAGACTGGGGAGTTACTGCTTGGTATGAGTTTTGGGGGGTGGGGGAGATAAAAATGTTCTAATGGTAGTTGTGGTAACACACAATCCTGTGAATACACTAAAGAACAGTGAACTGTACCCTTTAAATGGATACACTGAATATGAATTATCTCAAGCTGTTTAAAAAATATTTCAACCTCATGCTAACAGCTATTAATCTAAATGTTATTACATATTTTCTAAAATATTAAAATAAATATCAAAAAACCTAATAGAGGAAGAAAGGGAGAGAAACCCTTACATATTAAATTAAAACAGATATTAAGATACTGAAAACAATAAACCACTTAGAAGCCAGATATGACTGAGTGTTAAAAAGCCCTTATTATATTAAAATCGTTAAACAAACAAAACAAATAAATGGTAACAGACTGAACAGACCCCTAAATGATTTCTTCAGAAAGACTGTTATTTGAAAACAATCTTGAAATGGAAGGCTTTGCTTCTATAAACAAAAACATGAATGAAGTCCTCAATAGCATGAGCACTTACTCATCATACTCGATATGATAAATAACGTCTTCATCAGCAGCAACAGAGTCTGAATTAGACGTAGAGGGTACATTGTCCAATTTATTTGTGTTCTCTTTGGAATTATGATTTACATTCCCATTAGTCCTTTTACAAGAACTGCCATTCTTCAGTGGAGTTTTGCCACGTGAATGTCCATCAGAAGCTCTAGTAACACTATGTACACGTGCTTCAAACCAAGCACCAAGGCCGACATCTCTGGCATCCACCAATTCATTTACCTAAAAAAAGTTTAAAATGAGTTAATGAAGCTTAATTTCATCTACGGCTTCAAAAACTTTAACATAACTCAAGTTATTATAGTTATCATGGTTAACAATATTTACAGCTACTTATGCTTAAAGTTATTTCAAAGATTAGATTAAAACTATTCTTTTTTGGATCAAATCTGTTATTTACTAGTATGAAAATTAACTTTCCTCCAAATTTCCTTCAGTGAAAAAGGTGTGTTCTTTAACTACTCCCATGTCTACATTAAACTTTCAAAAGTTTAATTCTTATGTACTCAAGAATGTTCTGGCAAGAAATTCGGTAAGAATGTCGCTAACAAAAAGCTAGACTTTAAAGTGTATGAATGTATTATTAATTTGTTCCATTAATTTCTTCAGATTCCTAAAGATTACTGTTTTCTGGTTGGACTGACTATAAGTTAAGTATTAAACAGGAAATAAAACAAAAATGAAGGAATTATGCACACGTACAAAGGGAAGAATCTAGTGAACACATCTATACAAAATGGGCTAAGTTCTACCACCAGTTAATAACTCACTAACAAATGCATTATTTAGTACTTCAAAGAACAAAGGTAAAACAAAAAGAACAGAACTATAAGATGCAAAACAGATGTAGTCAAGTCTAGAAGATGATCCAGAATTAAATTGTGCAATCTGACAAAAGGAAAACAGTACAACATAAGTTAAGAGTTACTATATGGAAGCCGGTTTACCAAAAAAAAAAAAAAAAAAAAATCCTCCCCTAAAATATTCTGAGGAAATTAGTCTAAAGGTCAAGGCCCTTTCAAGAGCAATAACCAAAAGATGTCCTTTCGACTTTTTTTTTTAAAGCCCCTAAAAGAAAAAAAATGCCATCACTAATACTAGATCATCACCTAATCAAGCTGGCTCTTCCTGAAGGTGTAAGAGACCACTTAAGGTATCCAAAAGAATTCTGACAGATGGAGCAGGGGTGAGGAGGCAGAATATAATAAAAGTTAAATACCCACATGTCAGATACTATGCAAGGTTCCTTTACTTAGGTTTGTCTAACTGTAACAACCTTAATAATAATTCCTATTTTATAAGATAAGGAAACAAAGGCTGACAAGTTAACCTGCTCCAAGTGAAAGCTAATGAAATGTAAAACTAGGGTTTGAAGATATCTTGACCTTGAAGCTTATGTTCTTGCTACTATATCATGAAGCTTAGTGACAAAATAGGTAACTAGAAACTTCAAAGGTTAAAAGACAAACTTAGAAAAAAGGTATTAAACATATAAGGTTTCAAACCACCAAGCTAATAATATAGAAGGTAAAAGTAATACACACAAAACCAAAAATTATCACTACCAGAAAAGGTACAATAGTCTACTGAAGGAACATTGTAGCAATGAAACATCTTGAAAGACAAGGTTCAGTGTAACATAAGAATGAAGAGGTAAGGTGAAATGGAAAAGACCTGAGGGTGAACCAGGCTAGACATAAATAATCAGAGACAGAACATTGTATATGTTGCATAAATTAACTCATGCATTAAGTGGACTTTTTTATTCCAATAATAGTCAATGACAAGTTTAAAGCCTTTCATTTTCTTATAGGCAGCACCAGTTAAAACAAAAAATAAAAATGTTAAGGTTATCATATTTGCAGAATAAACTGAGGCTACTACTCCTTCACAGTAAATCAAAACATTAAGAGGTTTCATATAACACTACACAATTATTCTAGAATAGAATGGAACATAGAGTTGATACTAAAACGGTATCAGCAAAACTATATTCAGCAATATAAACCGTACTACGGAACGGTAAGAAGTACAAATGAAATAATTTTCATATCAGATATAAGAAACTAGCATGTAGATCTAGTGTCTGCATAACTTACTATTTGGCAATACAATCAGAGTTAACAGAAACCTAAGTCGATCTAAAAATACTGCCATTGCTTAAACAAATATAAGAGAACTTATTAGCTCATAAAGGCATTATTTGAATAACCCTTATAACTGGAAACAAGAAGTACAAATTCTATTAAGTATAATTAACCACTCATAATAAAGCATATAAACTGTGTGAAAAAATGCTTTTAAATTCAAAAGTAAAGTTCCTGCACATTACAAAGACAAAGTTTGGCCAAATTTAAATGGGTCAAACTGCATGCAAGAGGTTACAGTTCTTGTAAAGCCTAGGTTCAGAAGATGGTTCAGAAGAGAATAAACTTGTATGATTAACATGAAAACAGGATACTGCCATAGTAACCCAGTTGAAATTAAATGAAAAGTATGTACAAAGCCACAGAATGTACACCACCAAGTGTGAACCCTAATGTAAATTACAGATTTTGGGTGATGTTGTGTCAATGTAGGTACAACAGATGTACCACTCTGGTAGAAATGTTGATAATGAGAAAGGCTATGAATGTATATAGGTAGAGGATATATGGAAAATCTCTGTACCTTCCCCTCAATTTTGCTGTGAACCCAGAACTGTTCTAAAAAGTAAAGTCTATTAAAAAAAAAAAACAAAAAAAAAACTGAAATGTAATTAGACATAAGTGAGCAATAAAAAAGCAGGAAAACAAAAGAGGACAATAGAATATGTGTATTTGTGTGGGGGCGGTGGAATGTCTCAATTGCATCCAGGCTTTAATTTATGGAGGTGACTCACAACATGGAGAGGCTAATGCCACTGGAATAATTACATTTCCCAAGAGAAGGGGGCACTCTATGCAGGGCCACAAAGGAGAAGCACAAGGATTGTTCAAAAGTCAAGGAACAAGGAGAAAGCAAAGCCTAGAGACTAATGCATTTTCCATGTAAATGCCAAGGCAGGGTGGAGAAACAGTTTAGCACTGGCTAATCTGAGTAACACTGGTAGGCTCTGGGGCTATAGGTATGGTTTCTAGTCGTCTGGTACCTGGCCTGGGTGGTTAGAGTATAGAATATTGATTGGTGTGTTGCGTTAGATGGCTAGGATTGTGGCCTCCAGATTGGTTGGTTTGTATACAAAAGGCAGGCTCACTGACAAGTTATTTACGGTCTCTTCCTAGCTATCCCTGAAAGAGGGAGACTATCCTCAGCCAGCAAGCCCTCCCCCACCCCCACTGCACCCCCCAAAAATGTCAAAATATCATAAAAGAGAAAAACACAATTAATGGAGGAGGGTATTTGAGCTGAAAAGTCATGTTAAAAAAACAGCCACATTTAAAGATGAGTCTTTCATGTCCAATTATTTGACATACATACATAATCCTAAAGTATGGAACACAAGGTATCATTAAAGAATAAAATACCCAGCACAAATATTTGAGGATGTATTATACACTGGGTATACTTCTAGGCACTTTTTATGTTCTGTGGAAAACATACCAGCTCTGCAAATAAACAGGTTTGTCCTTGTCTATCACCTACGAGGTATAACCTTGAACAAATTACTTAACTTGTCCCAGCCGCAGCTTCTTTATAAAATACATATCTTGCAATGTATTAGAGATTAGGTTATAAAATCCATCTGATGTGCCAACCCAGCAAGCATGTCACAGCACAAAACTGTCTCCTTCAACTAAGTATTAACATGTTTAATGCTAAGAGCCATTAAAACTCAAGAGTATAGTCTCATTGCCATACTCTGCATAGTAGACATATTAGCAGTTTACTGTTAAATACATTAGCTCCTTTAATAATTACAATACAAAGTCATTCTTATTTTATAATGAGGTTCAAAAGTGAAATACACTTGGCCCCAGGAGATAACACAGCTAAAAGTGGGAGCTAAGCTGAAAAAGGTTTTTCCAACTTGGAACATGATTCTCTCATTACACCATGTTTCTTCAGAGTTACAAATCGAAATGCAATATGGTTCCATTAACATGAAGTTCAGAAAAGAGGAAAATTCAGATGCACACACAGGTTAAAAGTTCTTAAGAGGTTGTTAAATGGATAAAGTTAACAAAAAGCAAAGAAACAATTGTCATGGAAGCTTCAGTAGTAGTTATAACTAGGGAGAAGGGAATTACAATTAAGAGAGTACACCTGGAGGGAAGTTCCTGGAGGTACTGCTATTCTATTTAACTTAGGTGGTGTTTACAGACACTGACTTCAAATTTCAATAAGCTCTACTTTTCTGTATTGTCTATTAAGTTCCATAATCAAAAAGCTTAAATATCAAGAAGCAGAGCTGCATTGCAGACAAGACAGGCAATACTAAGATATCCATGATTTTCTACTTAGTAATTATTAAGCTTCCTCTTTCACTTCCTACACTGAGCATAAGAAAACATTTAAGAAGTTTAACAGTGTCACACACAGAGCTAGACCCTAAAAGCTTACTAGCATCATTCTAAATAGATACTATTTAGGCCAAGATGATAGTCTTTTCAAAGTAGGATCTAATGCGAGTCATATAAAGCTTCATATCCAAAAATCAGAATTAAAATAAATTTAGGTCTCGAAAGTCCACCTTGTTACAGAAAATAAATTACTTCCTAGAGTCAGTGTAATTCAATTTGTGTTGTACAATAGGAATAGATGGACCCAGAGTCTGCACAATCTTCCACAGGCTCTCCAAATGTGATAGTGATATTTAATTCCTCATGATATAGGAAAAGTTCCTCTGCAATTAAGCAAATGTTGCTCAAAGTTATCATATAGGGCAAAAAAAGAATGATACTAGATAATAACTTCAGATTAAAATTTCATTTTAATGTATTAAGTTTAAATGTTTACCTATATCAGTTTTGAGTAAGCTAATTTGAAAATTCACTTTTTGTACCTGTTTATCATGAGGTCCAAAGAAAATTTTATGCAAAAGGGAGGAAAGGCCCCCAAATTTGTTTGCTTATCCAAAAAGAAATTTTAATTATAGAAAGCTTTATGCCTATAAAAGGAAAATCTTTACAAAGCAAAAGTGACATGCAAGAATTCAAGATAAAGGCGGAAAAAAAAAAAAAGCCTCCCAATTTTTAAGTGTTCCAGGAACAACTTAATGAAATTATGATATACTATGTAGAGACTTGCTCTAAAGAAAACAGGCAAAATTCAAAGCAAATTTAAAACAAATTAATTAAAATGTAGCAGCTTCTAAGAGTTTAAGTCAGCCAAAAAATCAATGTCTAATAAAATTCCACGAAGGCAGGGGGCAAAATATGACTTCTCCCAATTTTTAAGTGTTCCAGGAACAACTTAATGAAATTATGATATACTATGTAGAGACTTGCTCTAAAGAAAACAGGCAAAATTCAAAGCAAATTTAAAACAAATTAATTAAAATGTAGCAGCTTCTAAGAGTTTAAGTCAGCCAAAAAATCAATGTCTAATAAAATTCCACGAAGGCAGGGGGCAAAATATGACTTGCTTACTTCTATTTCTAACACCTAATAGAAATATATGCTAGATATTCAAATATTCATTCAACAACTAAATCATCCAGAAATAAGCAGTTCTATATGTAAAAAAGGTCACTAGTCAACATTTCAAATGCCTATAACAATTTCTGAGCTCCATAAAAAAAAAAAAAAAAAGGAAATAAATCTGTGTTAGACTCTTCAACTAACAAGAAAGGCTGGTTTGACTAAACATATTACTTTACAAAGAACAGTAGACTTGAGAATTTAAGTGCCAGGTTTCAAGTGTGTTTCTAAATGAAGAGAGACGAGACGATGTAAAATTTACTTGCCAAATTTGTATAGCTCAGAATTGGCTAAATTGGAATTTGAAACTAAATCTGATGACAAAGCTAAAGTCCTTAACATTTAGTGCTACTTATTAATATGAAATATAAGAGATGTTTAAAAAAAAAAAAGTTAAGAACTAGAAGTAGTCAGCCACAGCACTAACATTGAAAATAAAAAGCAAAGATGCAGTGCGGGAAGTAGTTTCTTATGATGCATTTCTGAATCAGATTGGGGGAAGGGAAGATGGCAAGGTATTGAGGCCTTCACTAAACAGAATTTAAATTGATTAGAACTGCTTAACCTTGATTAATCTCAGATAGCTGGCCCTCCTATGAAAACAATTTCATACCTTCACTGCTCAAAACAAATCAAGTCAAAAGTAAGAGCTTCTAAACTATTTGCCCTTAACCAAAAAGTTAAAAATAATGTAAGATTAATTTAAATTACAGGTGGTTACATATTTACGGACATATGAATATACAGGAGGAGTTATACACGTTTCCTTGCTCTGTCAACTGAGAGCCGTAAAAGTAATAATACCCTAGTAGCAAGGAGCATACCTAAAGTTAGGCTTGGTTTCAAATACCATTCTCCATTTAAGGAACCAAAACTCCTTAAAGAAATGATAGATTTCAGGATTGGAGCAGGAAATATACAAGACGAGCCTGGAGCTCCTAGTGTCAGAAAGTGCTTTAACAAAAAACAACAAAAAAACAAAATAGGGGTATATCAAAGGGACACAGGGGAAAAAATATCCATATTGATGTAAATAAATGACTCGATAAATAAGTGAAGGAAAAGAGCCAAGTCTCTCATGTAGAAAAATTCTCAATAATTTTTGTAGATAATCGGCCCTCAAGGAAGAAGTAATTAATTCCCTACTCCTTAAGTGTGGGGTGCAAACAGTGACTTCATCTCAAATACAGTATGGAAAAGGGTGCAGGGGCTGGGAAGTAACTTCACAGTGAAGATACCTGATAAACACCTCAGCCAGGTGACTATGGTTCACATCAACAGTGATAAGTTACTACTTATCACTAAGTTAAATCTAAGTTATAATTGGTAAACAGAATGTTGATAGTACATGTCCCTATATATGATATGATGAAAACAACTTTATCTCTGTAGTCTTCTTCCCCCAAAATACATAAATCCAGTCTAATAATGAGGAAAACAGATGAATCCTAATAGGACATTTTACAAAATACCTGAACAGTATGCCTCAAAACTGTCAAAGCCATCAAAAAGTGTGAGAAACTGTCACAGCCAAGAGGAGCCAAGGAGATGTGACAACTATTTAGTACAACACTAATGTAAATGTAATGTAGTATCCTAAATAGGATTCTGGAACAGAAAAAGGACTTAAGGTAAAAACTAAGGAATATGGTTTGTAATTGTAACAAATGTACCATACCAATGTAAGATTAATAACAGGACAAATTGGGTGTAGAATACTTGAAAACTGTAGTATCTTCCCAATTATGCTGTTTGAAAATAACATGTTTCTTTAAAAAGGAAACTGCAAGAAAATAGCAACTTAGAAAGCATTAATAACTGAAAGAGGGATAAAATGGGTGATGTAGACAAATGGCAAGTGGGTTTTCAATATTAACAATTCCACCTGAATTGCGAGAACTACATAAAGTGCTATTTAATTTATATACAACTTGCCCATATCATGTAAGTTTATTCCAAACTTTGTTGTTACTGCAATTTCTTTTTCTTGTACTGACTGACTGTAGCAAGGAAAGCTACTGGAATTTAAATAGCCACCTTACTGATTGCTCATAAAGCTTTAATGTTTATTTTCTCAGTTTTTCCAGATATCCATAAGTAATAACTTTGCCTTCTCCAATGTTTACATTTTGTTTTCCTGCCTATCTGTATTAGCTAGCACTTTTAGAAAGATGTTAAATTAACAACAGCATTAACTGGCTCCCATTTTAATTAATGGGGATTATATTAAAACACTTCCTAATAAAACTATCCTGCTTCCTGATGAATTATACTTGATTAAAGTATTCTGTTCTTTTTAAAGTTATAATTTTATTTGCTAAATATAACTTAGGTTTTACATCAATATATATATCAATACTAGTGTGCTTTCTGTCACGTTTTGGTATCAATGTTACACTAAATTTACAAAGCAATGGGAGGCTTTCTTTTTTTATGTTGTGGGTCAATTTAGGTAACACCATATTTATCTATTCTTTATAGATTTAAAGCAATTCATCGGTGTAGCCACCTAGGCCAGGTACTTTTGAAATATAGCTCTTTGCCAATTTTCTTGATTCCTTCCATATTTATGGATCTGTTTGCATCTTTCCATAGAGAAATTAAACACAGGAGATGTAGGAAAAGGAGATATCAAGACAGTGCTACAGTACTTGGAACAGTATGGGCACAGGTATAGATGAACAGACCAATAGAACAAAACAGTTTGGCAGTATCCTGTGAGTAAACAACCAGCACTTCTATTTTTTAGGTAAAAATTCCTAGAGAATTCTTGAACACATGCACCAAATTACACATAGAAGGTTCAAAGCAGAACTATTTAAAAGTTGAAAATGGGAACAGCCTAAATATCTAATAACCATAGATTAGATATATATATTGTGGCATGTTAGCAAAATGGAATAATGAAAATGAAAAATAAAATACAGTTCTATGCATGAGAATCTCTCAAAGTTGAGAAAAAGTAGAATTCCATTACATAAATCTAAATACGTGCAAAACAAAACATATTGTTTAGAGATACATACATTAGTAACCCTAAAGAAAAACAAGGAAATGATCATAAAAGTCAGAACAAGTAGTTTACTTCCTGGAGAGGGAGATGTGTTCTGATAGAGGCACACAAGAGGCTTTAAAAAGGAACTAGCATCATTCTACTTCTTAACCTTGATGGAATTACACAGGCATTTGTTTTATTATTTAGACTTTATATGTAAAATGTGTATGTACAGTTTAAGTAAAGCCCAATCTTTACTTTCAAATGGCAGTCAATATACTTATTCACAACAACCTGAGGATAACAGACATCTGTATACTCACAACAAGAATTCTAAAGACAACATACCTTATATAGTCCGATGCCAGGATCAATAAGAAAATCACGAGTAGATGTAGATGGCTGACTGGAAGATCCCACTCTCGGGGTTTTCTTCACTTTAGGTGGATTATTAGAACAGGGTTTGGCCTGTACATCAGTCTGTTTAGATGTGCTAGGAAGATCAGGGTCTGGGCGAACTAGTAGCTGAATTATATCATTCAGTCCAACATCATAGTCAAATAAAGTATATCCATTTTCCAACTAGAAAAAATAGAAAAGATTAAAATGTTTCTCTCAAAATGATCTTTTTACATCTTTAGCTACTCAAAGGCCCCACCAGAATTATTAAAATAAAATTCATAGCATTTTGATTTAGTGATCTTGAAACTATTCCTACTACTTTATGGCTTCTGATGTTGACATCATCTCAGGACCTCAATAAATTAAGAATCATTCCATACCAACTACAAGGTATACTAATAGCCACTGAAATGAAAAAAAAAAAAAAAAAAATCATTGCTGTTGTGACTCCAGATTTCTCATCAAGTTTTATTTTAATGAACAGTGCCTCAATCAACTGCAAGAAAGGTAAATTCTGAAAATGAATTGTTTTATGGCCTTGTGTTCACAAAGACATTAAGTTAACCATTTTCTTTCTGACTGTCAGCAATTAAAAATAATCAAGCAGGAAAAAACAATTCAAGCAGAAATAATTACAATTCTTGCTCATGCTATTCCACTTGTCTGTTCTCTATCTATTTGTAAAGGTTATCGAATTGTATCATGAAGTCTTCCAGGATGAATAGTGAATAAATTATCTTGCAACTTACCCATATTTTGGCAAGGTCTCTGTAATGCATTAGATTGTGTCCATCCCCTCATCCCCTGCCCCCAATAATTGATATCCTAATTCTAGGTATCTCAGAATGTGACATTTGGAAACAGGATCTTCACGGAGGTAATCAAGTTAAAACTAGGTTATATGGGTGGGCTCTAACCCATTGTGACTGATATCTTATAAAAAGTTGAAATTTGAACACAGACATGCAGAGGGAAGATGTAAATGTATAAAGAGAGGAGACAGACACAGGACTGGAAGGATGCATTTACAAGCCAATGAACACCAAAGACTGCTAGCAAACACTAGAAGCTAAAGGAAGCAAGAAAGGATTCTTGCCTAGAGCTGTCAGACAGAACATGGCCCTCTGCTCATAACTTAATTTCAGATTTATACCCTCCCAAACCCTAAGACAATAAATTTGTTTTAAGACACCTAGGTTTTGGTACTTTGTTACAGAAGCCCTAGGAAACTAAGTCTCCATTTTGTTTCTTTATGAAATTCAGTTGGCCATTTCACAATGATACAATAAGTAAACTAAACTCCTTCAAGATCAGAACTATCATTTCCCCAGAATCGTTACTAATTTAATCACTGTTCATTTCCTCCTCTTTGTATGTAATACCTGTCACCATCTACAACTCTATCACAATAAGACAATGTTTGAGAAGTCAACCAAAAGGAAGGAAAGTCTGTCCCTGAACGATATACTATTGAACCAGGTAAGTAATTTTAATTCAAGTGGCCCAAGAACACACCTAGCACAATCCTGCACATTACAGGTGTTCACAATTGTTAAACAGAACAAGGGATCAAGAAATTCACAAATTTTTCAGTGGAGGAATTAAATTAGACACTATTTCACATGTTGGTTAATATGCTTATTCCAATAAGCCAAAGGAGACTCCCAAAAGTCAGTAAAAAGATAAGCCCTTATAGAGATGGCAATGTTAATACTGCTTACCTTATTTAAAAAATAAACAAACAAGAACTCCCTTTAATCCTTAACTCCTGGAGAAAAAAAAGGAACAAAAAACTACATTCACACCTTCATTCTGACACTGTCCAAGAGCACCCCACGAGCCCCAAGAAAGAACGCACTAATTCTGGAACAGCTGAAAAAACACAACTTGATTAAACATACAACTGCCGCATATTATGACAATGATAAAAAATAGAAGTATTTAACATAGAAAATAAACTCTACAACACAGAACATGCCAATTAACAGGTAGGCATTTCCCAAAATGAAGATAGTTAAAGTAGTGAAATAATTGGAAATCCAAAGTGTTTCCATAAACACTTTCCATTGAAATTTGAGGTACAAGAGTCAGAGGGACCTTGAGGGCATTCTTATACTCAATCCCTTTGCCTAGCTTCTACCAAGCAATCAGTAAGAGTAAACACAAGCTGCTTCAAGGGGTACTCAGTCTGAAAGGAAAAGCAATGTCTGAAAGTCAGAGTGAAACAAACACTAAGCATATTAAGGCATGAATGCCTACAATGGAAGTTAGGCCCACCTTAACATGTAACCACCTTTCCTCTAATTATTCACGCTTACTATGAGAGCCACTTTAACAGATTATCCATTCCCTTCCCTAATTCATAGGTATCCAGTTTTCCTAAAAGTTATCATCCATTGCACAGCAAGTTCCACACAGCTAAGTGAAGAATGTTGGAATGATCTGTTACTTGAAAAGCATTGAAGTTCGCCCAAATTTAATGAAAGTGCAGACTGAAAGTTACTTGTCACTTAAATTTTGCTGAATGGGGAAAAAGGGATTGGGTCACTTAGAAATTAGAGTTTCAGACATGTAACTATAGTCCATCAATGTCTCATAGCAGAAAATGTTTGAGAACTGCCATCTTAAAAGATGGGGGCTGCAGGACTTATAAAACTAGAGAGGCAGACGGTCCTACAATTTTGTTTTGCCAGACTGCATTCTTGAATTTTTATTGGACTGAAGGAAGAAATTCCAGCTAACAGGAAGAATGGTAATAGTGATGCAAGGGAAAACTAAAAAGGAAACACCAAGAGGCAGTGGCTGAGAAGGCAGTGGGGAAGTTATTCCCAAGAGGCTAGTGATTACCATGCAAGTGGAGGGCATTAAGTTAGTAACATTCATTTATCTTTCACATCAGGTATATAATGTAAGAATGCCTTGATAGCTTAGTGTTTCTCTCTCTAAATAGGCAAACATTTTTACTTTGTGTGAAAACAAAGGGCCCCAGGAGGAAAAGGCAACTACTTGGTTTTTCTTCAGCTGTTTCATGCCCCACATCTACCATCTATTCTAAGTCTATCCCTAAGTGGTACAAGGAAAAGAAAGCAAGCAAAGTAGAGAATCTTTTCAAAGTAGGAAAAGCTCTGGATTCTCAAAAGATATGAAAAACTCAATCCCCAGGGTGCGTCACACTCAAACCCCGGGAAGAATATCCAAATGAGGTTACCCTACTCTAACTAGAATTTACAGTCCTGAAAAACTGCTCCCTATTTTGACCCTCAAAAGTGGAGTCAATTACACTGCTTCTCAAATTTAATTTGCATACAGTTCACCTGGGGACCTTGTTAAAATAGATTCTACTTCAGTCTGGTGTGAGGCTCCCAGGTGATACTAATGAAGCTGGTCTTACTGATCCATGGACCACACTTTGAATAGTAAGAAACTAGTAGGAGAATGACTACTCTTTAACTTTCATTTTCAAACTCTGGTGTTCATCAGAATCTCCCATGGGGTCTTGTTAAATTCAACTACTTGCAATTCTGGGGTGAGCTGAGCATCTGTAATAAATACCAACAAGTGATTCTAATATATATGAAAAATTAAAAGCAGCACACCTAATAAAAATGGTGAAAAGGGGGAAGGAAACCACTTACATTATAAGACACTGTAAATTTGTTTTTATATTTTTCACCATGTGGCAGTAAATCATCTTGAGAAAGGGGGGCCTTTTTCTAATAAGAATAAAGGCATTTTACAGTATAGGAGCAGCTCTGTGATACCAATCCAGTAGTTGCCTGCTGTAGACACACTACCCTGTGCATGGACTGTAGACTCCCAAGAGGAAAGGAGAATGGAGATAATCACTGCCATGGCTACTTGTAAGCTCATAAATTAGTAAACCCAGCTGGAGCAGTATCTTCCTTCCATCTCCAACTCAATGGAGCACCAAAGGTCCATTCCTCATCCTTATTGGTTTATCACTGAGCTGAAGAAATCTTAGTAGTAAGTAATCAACTGTGCTGAGGGAAGAAATACGAAAAGTTGTTATCCTCAACTGTTTTGCCCTGAACCTGGAACCAGCTTCCTGGTTTACTGAAAGTCTACTCTGTTGCCCTGAATATAACCCAATCTCTACCTTTTCCCCAAGACATCCAGGTGCATATTTTCTTTTGGTATAGTTGATAATTAGGCTTTAAGGGTGTTGCCCAGAAATACATTCTCATGTGTTATTTCTATCACTGGTGCTGAAGTCACTAAAGTGTCCCAGGAATTCATGTATTATTGTTCTTAGCTAGAAAATAAAATTCAGGAGACAATTACATGCTTCTTACCTTTGACAAATATATAAAAAGATATCAGCTACTGGTAGCGCAGCAATATAAATCTACACAGTGTTTACTACACACAATTATTTCAAAAGCAAAGTCTACAACAAACCTGAACAGCTGTTTTTATTGCAAGTCAAACACTAAAGGATCAATATAAACCGGCTGCAAGCACATATCAAAGATGCTATTACATTTATTTAAAGACAAATTAAAATATCCCCTGGCTCACTCTCTCAGAGTTTAATCTTGTTACTTTGAAATTTCTGGGCAGTTTTAGAAGGGTAAGTGTATTAAGGACAGAAAATATTCCTTTCAAATCCTTTGTGGCTGTAGGAAAACGATCACTACCAAATCAAAGAAAGCTACATTTATTTCAAACAACATGATGGGAGCCAAACTGTGATCTATCAACGGGAAAAGGCCAACTTTTTTAGTGGATTAACTTTTTTAAAAAGACAAAGAAAAAGACAAATAGGATGAGTCTGGGTCAAATCTTTAATGGGCCAGACCAGGGCCATACCATACAACTACTACAGACGCTCAAAGACACCGCCAAAATCACTTTCACCCTCAAATATGTACCCCTGGCTATACTCCAGTTACTGTGTAAAAACTTGGGGGACTATTAGAAGGTGAGAAGAAAAGCAAAGTAGTCTTTTACATTCCTTTCCCTTGTAGCCTACAATAACCCTCTCTGGTCTGTACTGGGCAGTTTAAATCTGGTCCCGGGTTACATCAATAGCTCCTTTAGCCCAGGTCTCTAATCTCCAAGACAGATCCAATTCTAGGAGAGGAGAGGGAGGGGTGCCATAAGTTCTGGAAACCCTGCGAATCTTCAGTGTTTACAAATCTCTTCCACATGAGGAAGTAGAGCTAGGGTTCTTGTGCCCAGAGCGAGCAATGTATAAGTTTTCTCCTCTATTTGGGAGCTGGGAGCGCGGAAGAGCCACGGAACCGATGAGAGCCGTTATCTGGCTAAGCTCTGCCGGGAGCCAGAGCCGCGAGCCCTCCCCACCCGCACTGTGGCATGGCCGCCACAGCCCGCTAACCTCCCCGCCCTCCAGGAGCTCCTGACCCGGTTGAGCGCGGGAATCGAGGGAACCCAAGCGCTCTGGCGGGCTGTTCCTGCGGCTGCTGCCCTGCTGAGCAAGGGCGGCGAAGTCGCCGTGCTCTAGGCGCCCCCACCTCTGACCCAGCCGGGCGCACCTGCACTCGGGACTGACGGGGACCCCTCTGCGCCCCCTCGTCGGGTCCAGGCCCGCACTCCTGTGGCTCAGGGGCTGCCCACCCGAAGTGGAACGAGGAGCAATCTGCGCGCGCGGCGCACTAAGCCCTCTGGCCCGCCCAGCCCACGCGTCCGAAGAGGCGCCCCGCTGCCCTCGCTCGGGGCTCCCGAGGGGTGCAGTGGGCGCGTCTCACCTGCTTGCCCCGATAGAAGAGGCGCTGGCACTCGGGCCGCACGTCGAATAGCGCCCACACCCGCTCACGCAGCTCCTCAATTGTGGCTTTGCGAGACACGTCCTCAATGGTGCGCGTCTGGGAGCCGTCGATGGTGCGAACCTGGATCCACATCTTGGCGCCGGGAGAGGGGGCCGGCTCTGCTTTGTCTCCCCCTGCGCTTAGGGCGCTGCACCCCACCCGGCCAGCGCCGCTTCCTTAGCGGCACCGACTCTCCGCTGCCGGCGGGCGGGCGAGCGCGCGCACAAGCGAGAAAGACTGACCAGACGCCAGGCCCGACAGGCGGCCGCGACTCCTAGACCGCGCACCCGCCCAGCAGAGCTGTGCAGGAAAGGAAACCGGAACTAGTCGGAGGCGCCGCCGCTGCTGCCGCAGCCCCCGCCTCACAAATAGGAAGAAGCCTTGTCTGCACCGCGCGGAGTGTTTACTTATAGAGCTCTAGCTCCCACATGGAGGTCACGGCGCGAACCCGGATCTCGCGAGATCCACGCCGGGCTCCGCCTTAAAGAGGAAGCGGCCCGGGAAGTGGCTATAGACCAGAGGGAACTAAAATGGGCGGGGCGGAGGGGCGGGGCTGCCCAGAGCCGTTACTTGCTCCTCTGCCTGCACCTGGGTACTGGATACCTCGCCCCTAGCCTTCGGGTTTCGAGCGGTTACGAGGCTGCCCACAGGTTGCCGTTTTGGTTCTGGTTTCGGGACCTTGCGAGCGAGCGACTCCTCAGGCCTAGCGGATACGGTTCTGTGGTCTCATAAACACCAAAAATAAGAAACTGACGTTCACATGTATGATCATGAAATGGAGAGTGCGGACAGACACGGCCTAAGTTTCTGAGAAAGCACATAAGGAAATGAGCCCGCACTACCGCGCTCACCGGGACACCGTCCATCACGCGGCCTTGGTGGGGGCGCCCGCCCTGTATAGGCTCCGGGGACCCTTGTGCTTCGCAAACTCGTTTCCCGCCGAGTCCGACCGCTACCTTCGCGCGGAAACCCACTTCCTGGGGTTTCCCGCCGCTGAGCTGGGCTGGGCTGGCATCCTCGGCCCCACAGGCCGCGGGTCCTGCTGGGATCGCCCTCTCCCGTCCGCCACGCTCACACTCGGACATCTGGCCATAGTGGTGTGGGTGCCGCCACCCGGAGGCTGCTAGTCAGAACCGGACGTTTCCTTTTGTGGACCTTACAACTTAGTGTACCTTTGGCCTACGGGATTGCGGAGTCATGGAAAACATTTTTAAAAGATGCAAAACTACACGCCTCCGAAAAAGAACTCCAAATATCCTACTAGGAATAAATTCTTAGAAATAGGCCTATTACCTAACAGTGAGCTTCTTTAAGAAGAAAATATGTCTTCATAAGAAAGCATTTGCGAACATATATATACATAAAACTTGGACTTTTTATTTGCCAGAATCCGTGACTTGAATGTTGAGACTGGTGTTAATTATCACCATAAGGGTGATAATTAACCAATTAATTACAAGTACAGAGAAGTCCGTTATGAAAGATGGCCCAACACGGAAGGGACAGGAAAAATGGAATATGTATGCATATTTCAGGCCTTTGCTCTTGCTGAAAATTTTACATTCACTTGTATCCGCTAAATATATAGTTCGCCTTGTCTGTTTCTGATTTAAGTAAAGCAAATATTGAGTATTCACTATATGTGTAAATGCAATGATAGTGATATGGAAAGCACACATAACCGGTCCCAATAAGGAATAGCTATTCGCTATTATAAGAATATGCTATGTCCTTGTGAAGGCATATTAAGAATTTCTTTTAATCCTCTATTCACAATGAATTTCCGAGAAAGCACATAAGGAAATGAGCCTGCTAGTTCATCTGAACAATCGAGTTCAGATAAGATTTAGAAAAATAAAAATAGTAAAGAATAATTTAGTACTAAACAGTCTGTTGGTTAAAACAGAAATTAGAGATGAGAGAAGGGGGACTAGAATGATCTGAGTTCCATGGTATATTGTAATGGGAGCAGCATTTAAACGTTCAGTTCATGGATTGAGATAGATCTGAACTGTAATCCCAGTTTTGCTATTAAACTGTCGTCTTGAACAAATTATTTGCTTCAATTTCCTCAATGTAAAATGATGCTTAAAACATAATGAATAGCCTATCCCTTGGTAGTACACAAATTATTTTTGTACTATTATTATGGAGAGGATTTAGATAAGCAGAGAATGCCCAAAGAGAAGAGAGTGCTTAAGCAAAGATAGAAGGCATGCAGTTTTTACAGGTCAGAAGAGATTTCATATCAGTGAAAGGTTGACTAAATAGAGAAGGGCAGAGTGTGAAGATTAGCATTCAGAGCAGTAGATTTTTTGGGCCCCAGGGAGAAACTAAGGTTTTTGAGTCCACTGATGTGATTAAATATATAGCAGAAGGAGTATGAAAAGATGCTTTAGGGAAGAGGTCCCCAACCCCCAGGCTTCAGACTTGTACTGGTCTGTGGCCTGTTAGGAACTCGGCCACACAGCATGAGGTGAGGGGCGGGCTAGCAATAAAAGCTTCATCTGTGTTTGCAGCTGCTTCCCAGCGCTAGTATCACGGCCTCTGCTCCACCTCATCATCAGGCATTGGATTCTCATAGCAGCACTGGTCCCTGGTGCCAAAAAGGTTGGGGGCCGCTGCCTTAAGGGAAAACTAAGAGTCAAGGAGAACCAGGGGAGATGTTGTCTGGAAGCTTCGTGAAGAGACAATTGTATCAGTTTGAGTGAAATTTGTGGCAGGAGGTAAGAGAAAAAATGGTAGATTCCAGAGTATTATATAAAATCAAGCCTATCAGACTTGTAGAATGTGAGAGATGAGGAAAATGGAATGCTGAGAATAATTTCCAAATTTCTCGTTTGGAAGTCTTAAATGAATGGCTTGGGTAGACGGTGATGCTCTTAAATGAACTAAAAGAGGAAAATGCAGTGATTTCCATTTGACCTTTATTGCATTTGAAATGCATCCAAAATGTACCTAGATGGAGATATCTGACAGCTGGAAATATAAAAATAAATAAATGGGAAGTAGAAAAGTTCTGAAAGAGGAACTAGTCAAGATCTGTACTCACTGTCATGAGGCTATTTATCCTTCTCAATGTGGTGGTTTTTCATGAAGAACCCTTGGTGGGGTGGACTATTGACAAAATTAGGTATCCACTGGGACAGTATAGGATCTGTGTTAATCTAGTCAATATAGATTCCAAAGGATTGGCGGGCTGGAGCTTAGAGATGTGAGACTCAGAAAAGACTTACTTGTCCTGTGTAGATCAAATTAATTAAATCTGGAAACATAAGCTCATATGTGTAGTAAGTCGTTTAGGATATAAATAAGTAATTGCAAATAATGGTTGTATATGTAACAAGATACATCCTACTATGTTTCTCCATACAGTATATATTATAACTAAGGTTTTCTCTCTTTCTCTGCGGTGCTGTTGTCTGCTTAGGAAACTTCCCAGTTGTAAAAGCAAGATAGAAGTTCTTTGACAAAAACCACAATATCATACAGTTTTGACATATACCATGCCTTATTACCAGATGTGCAGCTGAAACAACTTGAATGTGAACAGAGAAAGAAAAAATAAATTACTTACGTGAATGAAGAGTAAATACTAAAGTTTATGCCATCAGCCATTCAATATTTATTTAAGTCAAAAGAGGCAAACCAGAACAAGATTGATTGTAGAGCTAATTACTCCAGAATCTTATTATACCAAGAATATCTCATTTTCTCAACTAATGTCCCAAAGTCAAGAACTTTTATATATATTTTAAAAAGTGAATTTCAATCTGCTCTCTGAAGCTATGATTACTACCTTCCATCCATACCCCTGCATTGATTGTCTTCCTTTTGCTCCTCCAGAGCCACTCTTTACTCGCTCTCTGTCCTGGAGTCCAAGGGCAGAGAGTACATCACTGGGGCCAGTGCTCTTAGGCTTCCAACTGAGGCTAGCCTGTGAGGAGGAAGCACAGACGGGAGAGGAAGAGAATGAGGTCAGTATATTTACTCCCCAGTATATTTGTTCTCCCTGAAAAGTTACCTTGGGCTGTCTGTTGCCTTCCTGGGAAGTCACTACTCCTCTTCAAGTGGCCAGCTCTAAATGACTCATTCTTCTTTGTTCTGGAAACCTCTTTCCTCCTCTTGTTTTGAGTCTAGGGATTCTAACAGCTTTATAGTCCTAGATTCATGCATATTCCTTCAGTTCCCTGTACCTTGGCCCACACCCTTTTAATTGGTCCCCTGTTGGGGGAGGAGGAACGTTAAAAGTACCTTAACTGGAGGTTTTCTGTTATAATCTCTAAAGCTATTTTTAAATTTTTTATTTTATTTGTTATTATTTTATATTACTTTCAGTATACAGTACAATGGTTAGACATTTATATAATTTATGAATTGATCCCCCCAATCACTCTAGCACCCATCTGGCACTACATACAGCCATTAAAATAATATTGACTATATTCTCTATGCTGTACTCTACAACCCCACTGACTGCTTTGTAACTACTAATTTGTACTTCTTCATCCCTTCACCTTATTCAGCCAGTCCACCAAGCTCCCTCCCCTCTGTCAATCACCAGCTTGTTTTCTGTATCTGTGAATCTGTTTTTGTTTAGTTTGTTTGTTTCTTTTGTTCCTTAGATTCTGCATATAAATGAAATCATATGTTATTTATTCTTCTCTGACTTATTCCACTCAGCATAATACCCTGTAGGTCCATTCATGTCTCTGCAAATGGTAAGATTTCATTTTTTATGTCTCAATAATATTCCATTGTATATATGTAACATAATTTATCCAGTCATCTATTGATGAGCACTTAGGTTGCTTCCATATCTTGGCTATTGTGAATAGTGCTGCCAGAACATAGGGGTGCATAGCTCTTTATGAACTAGTGTTTTGGTTTTCTTTGGATAAATACCCAGAAGTGTAATTGCTAGGTCGAAAGGAAGTTCTATTCTTAATTTTTTGAGGAACCTCCAAACTGTTTTTCATAGTGGCTGCACCAATTCGCAATCCCACCAACAGTGTACGAGGGTTCTCTTTTCTCCACATCCTCACCAATGCCTGTTTTTTGATTTATTAATGATAGCCAATCTGACAGATAATATCTTATTGTGGTTTTAATTTGCATTTCTCTGATGATTAGTGACCTTGAGCATCTTTTTATTTGTCTATTAGGCATCAGTATTTCCTCTTTGGAGAAATACTGCTTCGGGTGTTCTGGTGATTTTTAAATTGTATTGGTTGTGTTTTTGTTGAGTTGTATGAGTTCTTTATAAATTTTGGATATTAACCCCTTGTTAGATGTTTCGTAGACAAATATCTTTTCCCATTCAGTAGGTTGCCTTTTCATTTTGTTGATGGTTTCCTTTGCTGTGCAAAAACTTTTTAGTTTAATGTAGTCCCATTTGTTTAATTTTTCTTTTGTTTCCTTTCTGAGTAGATA